TCGAAACCATTTAAATTGAAATGTATGTATGTAGTAAGGCATTGCCATAGACTCAAGAAAAAATATAAATAAAGAATAAGAGAAAACCTATCATATATTATAAGATCTGAAGATCATAGAAGGTAATGCAGCAATATGAAATATGTTTCAATTGATAAACCATATTTAAAGTGATTCTTGGATATTTTCTCCGTATTTATATGCCGATATGTCGATGGGTTCGATTATTACTCAAGCTTATTTAACAGAATAATTCCCTGTGAAATGTTTTCCAAGATAAGCTGATTACTTATTCTCTAACTTATCTAATACCTCTCCGTGTTTCCAGCACACGCCTAGCCGCCCATTTCCAGTATCTAAAGGGTATTGATTAAGTTTTCGACTTTGGCAAACACGAAGGCTGCAAACTTGCTGAAATAACTACTAACAAGAAGTTTCTTTGGCAGGCGGAAGTACAAACTAAGATGGATTTGTTGACTGACTGCTGGCCCGTTTTTCGCTGGGCCATGCCCCGCCTCGCCTCGCCTCGCAGCCCCCTTGCAGCCGTGGGCGGTATTTAAAAATGCAACAAGCGAACGCGACTCAATGGGAATGTTTTTTGTATTTTTCGGTTTGTGCTTGAAAGCGGAGCACAAAATCGATACACAAAAAGAATTAAAAAAGCAAAAAAAAGAGAAAAAGAGGGAGGGAAAGAGAAACTACATATGAGAAAAAAAGGCAAAGGCGAATACTCACAGCACGCTGTGGGTCAGAGAGTGTTGGCATTTCGCAGTATGAGGTCCGGGGCGCTGAGCAAAGCGGTCGAGGGGGGGCGGTAGAAGGGCGCAGGTCATGACGGCTGTATAACCAGCCAGCCAAAAATGCCAAACAAATTGATTGGAATCGAAAACGAAACGTAAACGAAAACGATTCATATGATTGACTGGCTGACTGATGGACGACGGCCGACGCGTCGTGTGCTATGCTGCAGGAGGCGACGAGCCGCAGCAGCATGCCCCAATCGAATCAAGCTCATACAAATGGAACGGGCTGCCATCTGATTTTTGGCATTGATTGCATGCTTTTAAGCGCGGCAAACCCATCCATCGGTTCGTACCTGCTGGACTCAACATAACCACCAATTCTGATTAAAATGGTATAGTTCAAACAAAATTTTGCACTGCATTTAATTTGATTACATTGGAAAAGTCAAAACTGAGTGCGCAAAAAATTAAAATAGAAAACAAAAATTATTGCAAGTGTGATGGTTAACGCTGCTCGACTAGCAAATATCCTGTTTCGGACAAAACTTGTCGAACAAAATAAAATGAGAATTTTTAATTTTTATTTAGCAGTATTTTAGTATTTTAATTAAGTATTTTAGTTATCAGTTATCTGACGGAATAGTACAGATAACGATTAATATTGATAAAAATCAAAGGTATTTTATATTTATACATTTTTTATACACGTTATCATTTCCGAAGATCCACATTAAACATCCACGCATTAAAATCCCTGACTATCGATATTTATCGATTTTTCACTTTCTACAGGGTATATAACATGCACATGAAATGGTATTCATTTTGATGAATGCAATTACGCAACGAGCTGTATGTCAAATTTGCAGAGCGCTATTGCTGTTGCTATTGCTGTTGCTTTTGTTGTTGCTGCTTTTGCTGTCACTGGCATTCAGAGATGCAAAAATTTTTGCATTATTTGCTGGCCACCGCCCGAAGCTAAAAGCTGCCCGCGGTGAATGCGTTGCCATTCACATCAAGAATTGAATTGAATCGAAACGAATTGAATTGAATACCATTCAAATTGTGACTCTCATCCTAGCACAATACATACCACACACACGCACACACTCACACACACACGCACAGACACACACACACACCTACACACACACACACATACATTCTTTACTCTCTCACTCTCAAACGAATCGAGCAAACTCGACGTGTTTATTCACTGCATTTCCTGTTGATATTCAACAAATGCCATCGTCACATTCACAGAGCACGGCAGTCAAACGTTTCCACCTAGCGACTAGCCGCCACCGCTATCGACATCAGCACCCCCATCGCCATCCAATCTCCTTCCCCTGCCCACTTCAACGCTTCCACAGCCACACTAACTGCATCCCGTTGGCGCTTCCCATAAAGGAAACGGGAAGCGCATTTGCAGCAGCCGCCGGCGTTGCCCAGAAGTTCTTCATTGATTTTTGTCACTTATTGTTTGCAGCTCGCAGATGTCCTCGTTACCAGCCACCACAGTGGCCCCCAGCAAACCCCCATACAGCGCCCCTATGCCAAAAAAATGAAGGAAAAATTTGAGCTTTAATCGTTTCTGCGTCGCTGTCTCAAGATTTCAACCAAGTTGTTAGACGTTGCGCCACAGCGCTGAGGTGCTGTCGCCAACCCAATCTACCTTCTGCTTTGTTGCTCACAATTCCCAATGCCAGAGCCCCACCGGCTCCACACCCACACAGACAAACAAACACCTTTCGAGTGTATTTTTAGCCTGTGCTTGATGGCGACATCAATTGTAGCCAGAGTACTTTCAAATTTATAAGTAGCATTGATTTTACAGTCATTTTCTGACTTTCCATTATGCTTATGAGCATAAACAGCTTAGGGTTGTAATTATTAATTAATTATTATTATAATTTGTTGAGTTGTTTCCTTAAAGAATATTTATGAATTTGTGGTAAAACTTAATATTTCGTTTACTTTTAATTTGATTAAAACGAGAGAGATAGTTAGATGAGATAGAGAGAGAGGAGATAGATGGATGGGCTAGAGGGAAAGGGAAATATAGAACATGGAAAGTGTGGGTGTGCGAGCTAGACTCAGAGAAAGATAGAGAGAAACAAAGAGAAAGCTAAAGAAAAAGCGAGATTCAGATAATGAAAATGAAATTTATAATGCGTAATAGAATTATAACGGGAATACCCATTCCCATTGTGAATGAAAATGAGAATAATATTAAGCATTCATAAATCTTAAATATTTGCAAAGCTTTATTTGATTAAATTAGTCGAGTTACTGAAAACAAAACTCCCCAATTCTCACTTAGCTAACACACAATTTCACTTGTGAATACTTTTCACTGCACTCCATATAAATAAAAGGAACTATTTTAGTTATTTTTGCGCTCATGTTATGCATCAGCATCTTTTAGATTGAAGTATAAAATTCCATTACGTATGTGAATTGAAATAATTTAAAGGAATTTCTTCGAGTTGATGTCAGCAAGCAGTAGTTAAATTGAATAGAACTGAAACCCATTTGTCTAAGCGCAAGAAAATATCACATTCATTGCGCCGTACTGCTGTTGCAGTATTCAATACCGTTATGTAGCGATTTTCATTTTCATTTCATTCTATATGATTTCTTTATGTTGTTTTTATGGTTCTTTTATTTTTATTTTGCTTTTATTTTTTTAGTTCGCTCTGCATGCACTTTTCAATTTTTTAAGCTGCAGACGAGCCTCGTGGCCATTCGTTGTGCTTTGTTCGTTTGGCCAAGCGGCTGGCAAACATTTTCTGTATGGTTCCAGCAGCTGAAGGACCTGAGCGCCTGCCACGCCTACTGCACACCGAGTGCGTTGGATAGCGAAAAAAAAAAACAACTTTATATATGCAATATAAAAAAGAGGAATGGAAAAAAAATTTAAACTAAAAATGTTTTATGCATGAGAAAACCACAACAAAGCGCGTAAATGTCATTTCCTTTACACTAAAAGGATACTTTGAAATTGAAATTGTGGTATTTTTCACACACCCACACACACAATCGCTTGCACTCTCTGAGAGCAGCCAAAGAGCTTCCATAGAACGACTTGCATAGCCCTTGCCGCTTCTCGTTTACTGAGGCTGCCGCCTCCATGAGCACTCAAAGCCTTTCTCTCCTGCTTTCTCTTCTTCTTCCCTCTGTACGGGGCAGAGTGTCTCAATAAAGGCAATTGGCGATGGAGCTGGCCATGCCTGGCTGCACAAATGCAAGTTGCATACTTTGCGGCTAATTACGCTCGACAAATAGCGAGCGGGCAGGGCGAAACTAGTTGAGCACAAAAGTACACAGAGCGAAATAATCTATGCATTATTCTATTTACGAATCAGCCGCACTTAAGACAACTCCAGTCATGCCTAATCCAATCCACAAAGCGCCGGTCCGTGGGTCAAGGTCAAGTTTTGTAAACTTGGATAAAGTTGCGAAAACTTAGGTCAAGTTGTGATAGCTTAGGTTACGTTCATTTGAACTGGCTGAAAGTGAGGTTAAATAAGACGAAATTAGGTTAAGTTGCCTTAAGCTGGGTTCAGTTACGTTTCGCTAAGTTTATTTAAGTCTATTTAAATTAGTATAAGTTCGCTTGAGTTAGGTAAGGTTCGGTTAGAGATGAGTTGGTGTTGGGGCTAAGTAGCCCTACCTTGGGTAAGATGAGATTAAGAACTGTGCTATATATGCCTAGGGTCCTAATGCATTTATACATACCTAGGAATGAATGAAGGGAACAACTTTTTACATCGATATTGATATAGAAAGTCTTATAAGAGTTTTCTATATAGAATTAGCAATTTGATTTACAAGAAAGAAAATCCGCATTTCCATATTTCAAACACCAAACCCTCTAGCAATCAAGCAGTTCTCTTTCAGCATCCCTCACTTTTTACAAAAATAAAAACTAATAAAAAACTAACTACTCAACTGCTGCAACATAGTTTTCTCCCAGTGCAAACAACTCTTGACTTTTGCTTAAACTGAACATCTACGTTAGAAGAGAGCCAAGTCAAAGTTTTCGACGGCTGCTCAATGGATGCGCCTGAAGTGTGCCAAGGAGTAAGAGTTGTAGAAAGAAAGATGTTGTCTGGCTACGAGTGAAATTGGCATTGGGAATGGGCAACAGGCAATGAGCAATGGGCAATGGGCAATGGGGCATTGGGGCATTGGTTGGACAACGGGCATTGAATACGCTGGCTGTGGCACTCTGAAT